AGTGAGATGAAGTCTTGGAGTAGTTTTGATTTGCATTTCTCTAATTGTTAGAGATGTTGAACATTTTTCAAGTATTTGTTGATTAGTTGTGTTTCACTTTCTGAGAAGTGTCTGTTCAGTACCTTGGCCCATTTACTGATTGGGTTGTTTTTCTGGTGTTAAGATTTTTGTGTTCTTTATATCTAGAGATTAGTGCTGTATCTGATGTGTGTGTGGTAAGAATTTGCTCCCAAGATGTAGGCTCTCTATTCACCTCATGGATTATTTCTTTTTTTTTTTTTTTAAAGAGAGAGTGAGAGAGGAGAAAGAGAGAGAGAGAATTTTTTTTAATATTTATTTTTTAGTTCTCGGCAGACACAACATCTTTGTTGGTATGTGGTGCTGAGGATCAAACCCGGGTCGCACGCATGCCAGGCGAGCGTGCTACCGCTTGAGCCACATCCCCAGCCCATGGATTATTTCTTTTGCTCAGAAGAAGCTTTTTAGTTTGAGTCCATCCCATTTATTGATTTTTAAAATATTTATGTTTTAGTTGCAGTAGGACAAATACCTTTATTTATTTATTTACTTTATTTATTGATTGATTTATTTGTTTTTATGTGGTGCTGAGGATCAAACCCAGGGCCTTTGCACGTGCTAGGCAAGTGCTCTACCGCTGAGCCCCAGCCCAGCCCTGGTTCCCATGGTTTCTGAGAAATCAGCCAGTTCTAGCCTCTACCTCTGCATGCCATGTGTTGTTTTTCTAGGGCTCTTTTAAAAAAATTTTTTCATTTTGTATTTGCTTTCCAGCAATTTGACTATGATGTACCTACACTTGGTTCTCCTTGAGTTGATCACAGCACTTTTCTTTTTCTTTTGTGGTGCTGGGGATTGAACCCAGGGCCTTGTGCATGTGAGTCGAGCACTCCACCAGCTGAGCTCTGTCCCCAGCCCCAGAATTTCTTACATATGTAAGTTCATGTTTCTCACCACATGTAGGAAGTTCCAGTCATTTTTCCCTCCAGATACCTTTCCCCACCCCATTTCTCCTCTCTTTGTAAACTGTGTCACACACAGGCATGTGACATGGCCCCACAGGCACCTCCTTTAGGTTGGATAAGTTCTACTGAGACACGGTCAAGTGCATTGCGTGATCCCTGCTCTGCTCTTAGTCCAGTTAGCTTTCATTGAAAACATTTTCATTTTCAGTTCCAGAATCTCCGTTCAGACCTGTGGTTCCTGTGATCTGCCATGACTGTCTCGGTCTATCCGCTGTTGAAAGCCTATGTTCTGCACACCAGTGGGCACGGTCATGGGGTTGCCTCGACATCCCGGCTTGTTAACTCCATCATCTGGGTCCTGTCAGGGTCGATCTCCAGCCTTCTTTTTTTTGAGAATGAATAACATTATTTTCTTTTAATACTGGTTGATTTTGGATTGTGTCCTTGACATTATGATAGTCTGTGGTAAGTCTGCATTCTTTTAAAATAGTGCTGATTTTTTGTGTTAGTTGGCAATTGACTTGATGGGACTCAGACCACACTCTATCCTTGGGGCACTTTGTGTTTTTGTACTGGAGGTTGAACCTAGGGGCACTCTACCACTGGGTTGCATCCCCACTTGATTTATTTTTTGGGACAGGACCTCACTAGGTGACCCAGGCTGGCCTCAAACTTGTGATCCTCCTGCCTCAGCCTCCCAAATTGTTGGGATATAGGAATACGCCACTGTGCCCAGCACACTCTGTCCTTTGGCCAGGCTGTTTGGGGTCTGGCTGACCGTGGTTCAGAGGTCAACTAAGACCGAGGCAAGAGTTATCATCTGATGTGGATCTCCCCTTCTCTGGGATGCCCCTTGCCTTCCAGAGGTGTCACTGCCTCACTCTGCCTTCCAGCTCCTCAGGCTACGACAACTTCAGGTTTTTTGCTGGAGTTTACCTGCCCTTCATGGTCTGGCCTGGGTCTTGACCTCAGACAAGGGTGGCTCACCGGCCCTGCCCTGCTTCCTAGTGCTGGCTCCTCTCTAGAGTCTGTGCCTGTGCTCACTCCCTGTGACCACAGCTGATGCTGGTTTGCGTGCTGCCTGGCTTGTGGCACTACCCGAAGGAGGGCGAGTTCAGGAGTCTACCATCCTGGAAATAGAAGCTCAAACTCGTGGACAAAATCCAGAAAAAAAAAAAAAAACAAACAGCTGGGATTTAAAAATTCATTTTGTTGCTGGGCATGGTGGCGCACGCCTGTGCCAGAGACTCAGGAGGCTGAAGCAGGGGGATTGCAAGTCCCAGACCAGCCTTGACTAAGCAAGAACCTATGTCAAAAAAATGAAATTTAAGCTGGGTGCAGTGGCTTACTCCTGTAATCCCAGCGGCTCAGGAGGCTGAGGCAGGAGGATCGTGAGCTCAAAGCCAGCCAAATATGAAAAAAATTCATGAAAAATTCACAAAATGAAAATTTCCCTGGTACTGGGAGTTGAATCCTGTGTCCTATGCATACCAGGGAAGTGTTCCACCATTGACCTACATTTCTAGCCATTTTTTTATACTTTTTTATTTTAAGACACAGCCTTGCTAAGTTGTTCCGGCTGGCATTGAACTTGTGATCTTCCTACCTCAGCCTCTGAAATGGAGTCCTTGGGATCATAGTGGGCATCACTGCACCTGGCTGGAATTTGGGTTTTACAAATTGAGATGTGACCTGAAGGTGGGCAAGTTATTTTAGGAATTAACCAATGCAAAAAGAAATTCTAAAGACCCACCTGACGGGCATCTCGCTTTGGGAAATTCCAGAGCGTTGCACCTTCCAGGAAGGGTGGAGGTGAGAAGCCACCCAGTTGCTCCCCTGGGTCCAAGGCCTGTCTCTCTGGCGTTCTGGGAGGGAGACCTTCAGGAAGTCTGACTCCCCAGAGCGCTGGCAGGATATGGCAGTGCCTCCTGGAATTCCCACAAGCTGCTGTCCGTGAAGCCCAGCCGCGAGGCTATGGCTGCTCTTGGTGGAAGTTGGCCAAGAGGCTCTCCAGGTATTGCTGAGGCTCACCCACAGTCTGCTAGGGAGGTCCATCTGTCTCAGGAGGGGATGGAGGGGTCGATCAGCTCTGGGCCGCAGCCTGAGGGTCTGAATGCTGGCTTCTCTCCCTTCTTCAACCACAGGCCAAGGACTTAACCTCCTCAGGCTTTGGTTCCCTCTCCTGCAAATGGGCTCATAGGGGTATTCGGTGGTTGGTTCTCAAGACTCCTGGGCCCTCAGCCTTGTCCCTGGTGAGGGAGTCCTGACGGAGCAGATCTATCGTTACCAGGCTCTTCCTTGTCCCTCAGGTCAGGCTGCTGGGTCCCATCCCAGCTCCTGGGCTTGTGTCCTCAGCTGAAGGTCTGCTCAGGCTCTCTAGGGCTTTCTCTGCAGGAGTGACCAGACTGGGAATCAGGCGTACAGGGCTGAGTCATGTCCCCTCCCTCCAATGCATATCCACCCCAAACAAAAGAAGGGACCTTATTTAGAGGTAGGGTCTTGGCAGATGTAATGAGTAAAGACCTCTCAAAATCATTCTGGATTTAGGTCCCAAATTCAAGGACAGGTGTCCCTATAAGAGGAGAAGCACTGGTAACCTAGGAGGCAAAAAAGGGAGAGGGTACTGACATATAAGGAAGGACCCCCTGGAGCCACCTGAAGCTGGAAGAGGCAGGAAGGACCCCCTCCTCTGTTGCCTCAAGAGGAGTGCAGCTCTGTCCACAGCCTGATTTCAGACTCGGCTTTCAGAGCTGTGAGAGAGATTTGGGATAATTTATGGCAGTGCTAACAGATGTGTGCACCTGTGTTGGCATAGTAGGTATGTGGGTCCACTGACCACGCTCATATCCCTCTGAGTCTACATAGCTGAGAAAGGCTGCCTGAAGGGCTAGTGAGGTCACCCAGGAAGTGGAACCCTGGGAACCAACCCCAGGCCTCCAGCTGCCACCTGGCTGTATGTCCTTTAAGCAAAAATACATGTGGGAGCTGGGTGCAGTGGCTACACCTGTAATCCCCGTGACCTGGGAGTCTGAGGCAAGAGGATATGCAAGTTCAAGGCCAGCCTCTTGTAAGCGAAGGAGATCCTATCTCAAAATAAAAAATAAAAAGGGCTGGGGTTGTGGCTAGATGGTAGAGCACTTGCCTAGCATGTGTGAGGCACTGGGTTTGATCCTCAGCACCACATAAAAATAAATAAATAAAAAAAAAAGGGGGTGGGGCCTGGGGATATAGCTCAGTTGGTAGAGTGCTTGCCTGGCATGTACAAGGCCCTGGGTTCAATCCCTAGCACTGCCAAAAAAAAAAAAAAAAGGTTGGGGATGGTGCTCAGTGGTAAAGCGACTCTGGTCCAACCCCTCCCCCACAACATAGACACCATTAACAGAAGGCCTGTGGTATGATGAAGGGCTTCAGCATCCAGAGCACCGTGGAATCACTCACTGAGGTTATATTTATCTCTAAATGTAAGTGTGTCTGATGCTCTATTTTTATGGAAAAGCGATGCTGCTTATTGAATCTAAAAGACCCATAGACTTGCTGGCTCGGGAAGCTGCTGCTTTGGCCACCTGCTCGTCTGTACTGTTTTGGGGTCTGCCACTCTCCCTCATCCCAGATTCTCTTCCACAATTCCATGTAGTGCTGGGAGTTTCCAGTTGTTATAGTGCCCCCCTTTCTCTTTAAGCTGGGCAGGACTTCAAATTTCATACTACAGAAGTCATAACTGCTTGTGGCAACATGGAAACCATACATAGGTTGTGCGCAGCAGGTATCAGTCTGTAGACCATACACTTAAACAGAAACTTTTCCTGAGTCTCCAGGGTGGCCAGGGCTGAGCAGCTGTGTGCCGAATGCTCTTGTGAAGTCTTGTGGGAAGTCTTGAGGGAAGGAGCCTCAGGATTTCCTGGCCACTCCTACCCCTACCTCACCCTAAAGGTGGGCAGTGCTCTTGAAAACAGTAGTTGTACAACTGCCTGAGCCATGGGTCCTATGTTGCCCAAATACTTTTGGTGCACAGGACCATTCTGCAAGGGATGAGTGGACATGGATCCTCATCTCTGCCACATTTGCTGAAGCTGTGGGCTGTGGGGAGCTCCAGAGAGCACTGGCAGTGACATGAGCAAGTGCATGGTGCAGGAGGCTGAGCCCGGCCTGCAGGGGCTCAGGATCATAAGGGGCAGAGGGCCATAAGGGGCAGAGGGTTCCTCAAAGGGCCTTTGGAGGACCCAGCAGCCACCACTCTGTGGCTGACTCCGAAAGATTTCAGCAGCAGGGTTGGGGTTGTAACTCTGTGGTACAGCGCTTGCCTAGCTCACGTGAAGCACTGGGTTTAATCCTCAGCACCACATAAAAATAACTAAATAAATAAAGGTATTGTGTCCATCTCAACTAAAAAAAAATAATAAAAAAAAGACTTCAGCAGCAGATGTGCAGGTAGGAATGTGAGTGGTGGGAACCCCCAAAGTTATATGGGCCTTGGGGCTGGAAGCCTGGGAATCTAGGTTTCTTTCACCTGGCGTCCAGCTTTCTGCCCCAGTCCTACCTGAGAGTTTTGAGGGACACACACAGCTGTACATCTGGTCTGTCACTACCCAAGGTGCTCAGGGGCTGATGGCAGCCTGCTGTTAATGGCTTGACCTACTTTAAAAATTTCTAATTAGTCAACATTTAAAAATTCTGAGATTTGGGGCTGGGTAAAGTGATAAAGTACTTGCCTACAGGAACCAGATCCTGGGTTCCATCCCCAGCACTGCAAAAAACAAAACCAAAAAACAGATTTTACATGCAACTCCAATTTTTTGCTCCTGTTGGAAGATTCAAGCCATGCCCACGCTGAGCTTAAGGTGCCCTTGGAGTGGGGCACAGCGCCCTCACGCTCGCTCCCAGCGAACCCAGCTTCCTCACACCCAGCCTGCTATACTCATGTACATTCCGGTCCTCTGGAGGCTAACGTTCAGATACGAAATTCCCGTTGATACCTTACAGGATTTATCCCAAACACCTTTCCTAGGCTCCAATCTGTGCTGCTCCGTAGGGACATCGGTGTCAAGAGAAAAGGGGGGGGAGGGTCGTGCACTGCAGGTATCAAGCGGTTGGGAAGGCTGCGGGAGGATCACGCACAGCGCCGAGGCGCCGCTTAGAAGCGCAGCAGTTCCTCTAAGGTCTGCAGCCCCGCCCGCCAGCTGTGCTCCCGGCACGACCCCGGGCCTTAGGGACCGGGAGGTCCCGGCCTGGGGCCTTTCTGGACACGGCTTCTGGGCATTTCCAGTGGGGGAGGGGCGGAGAAAAGAAAACCTACGGCAGTGTCGATGACACCGTCAAATGCTTAAAACACCCGCCTGCCAGAAGGGGAGAGTGCGGTACAGCCCGACAGCGGTAGAGACTAGGTGCGTGCACACCTCGGTTTAGGCCATTTATTACCATTCCCTCCCGCAAACAGAAATAAAGGGCAGAAGACGGCTTCCGGGCGCGGCTGGTGCAGGCGCTGCGCTTACCGGCG